TTTCAATTATTTACGAAATTATAACACTTTAAAGTTTTCTGCAGTGAATTTATTAATATGTCAGTAAAATCAAACATTTAGCAGAAACAAAGTTATCATTGTAATATGTCAGTTTGCTGTAAGGTTTAATTATTACATACAAGAAGAAACTCAAAATGTACGCTTATAGCACTGAAAAGTATGCTGATATAATTTTCGTGCATGGTTTTTACAATGGAAATGCTCGACAATGAGTACGAGGTTATCGAGAAAGATTTCGGCAGCGTTATTTGCCATATTATTCAGTTTTTAGCGAGAAACACTTCGAGAAACAGGTAATCTTACTCCAGCAAAACCTATTCGACCGCATATAGTTAATGTAGAGGACGAAGAAGCTGTAATTAATGCTGTCAACACTCGAAGAATAGCGCACAACATATATGTAAGTCAAAATTTTGCATGACGCGTATTAAATCGCGGAGTCATTCATCCGTATCGTAAACAGAATGTTCAAGCTCTACAGCCAGGAGATAATCAGTAGCGGTTAGCTTTAATTTTGTGAATGGTTATTGCAGCAACATGCCCAAAATAATGACTTCATTTCAAATGTTCTCTGGACAGATGAATCATGTTTTACACGAGATGGTATAAATAATTACCATAATGAACATATCTGGGCATTACAAAATCCGCATGCGATTAGACCAAGGAAATTTCAAAAACGTTTCAGCATCAACGTTTGGGGTGGAATATTTAACAACAATNAATGAACTCTACTCGTCAAAATATAAGTTGCAAAAATCTTAAAAAATTCTTGTTATATACACTGTTAGATTTGCATTTACTATAAAAGAACGTTTAATACTTTCTAACCTTACTTTGGTGATGCTACACAGGCTGATTTATTAGCTCACCATCGTTTGATGAGATATGATAGCTCCTATTTCAATTATTTACGAAATTATAACACTTTAAAGTTTTCTGCGGTGAATTTATTAATATGTCAGTAAAATCAAACATTTAACAGAAACAAAGTTATCATTGTAATATGTCAGTTTGCTGTTTTTACAATGGAAATGCTCGACAATCAGTACGAGATTATCGAGAAAGATTTCGACAGAGTCATTTGCCATATTATTCAGTTTTTAGCGATTCTTTCAGAAGACTTCGAGAAACAGGTAATCCTACTCCAGCAAAAGCTATTCGACCGCATGTAATTAATGTAGAGGACGAAGAAGCTGTAATTAATGCTGTCATTGATAATCATTCCATCAGCACTCGAAGAATAGCACACAACGTACATGTAAGTCAAAATTTTGCATGGTGCGTATTGAATCGCGAAATCCTTCATCCGTATCGTAAACAGAATGTTGAAGCTCTATAGCCAGGAGATAATCAGCAATGGTTAGCATTTTGTGAATGGTTATTGTAGCAACATGCCCAAAATAATGACTTCATTTCAAATGTTCTCTGAGCAGATGAATCATGTTTTACACGAGATGGTATAAATAATTACCATAATTAACATATCTGGGCATTACAAAATCCGCATGCGATAGACCAAGGAAATTTCAACAACGTTTCAGCATCAACGTTTGGGGTGGAATATTTAACAACAATTTTCTAGGTTTGCATGTACTTGATGGACGTTTGAACGCTGTAAATTGCAGATTTTTTTTTGAATAATACACTTTTTGATTTACTTGAAGATATACCTCTTAATGTGATTCAAAATATTTGGTACCAGCACGATGGTGCCCCACCACATCGCGGAAGAGTAGTTATCGAGTGGTTAAACCAATATTTTCAAACAAGTGGATTGGTAATAATGGTCCATTTGTTTGGCCACCTAGATCCCCCGACCTTAATCCATTGGATTTCTACTTATGGGGTTAAATGAAACATATTGTGTATCAGTGGAAATTAATACACGAGAACTGTTGCTACTGAAATAAGAAATCAACCAGACATTTTAATTCGGCTGAAGAACTCCTTAATTCGTCGTTGTGAAGCATGTATTCTAGCAGAAGGAGGCTATTTTGAACAATATTTGTAATATTTGTGTTTTAAAAAAAATGTAGCAGTTAATTATGATATAAAAACTAAAACTTTAAAGTGTTATAATTTCGTAAATAATTGAAATAGGACATATGTTCACCCTATATAGAAATGATGCATCGTCTTTTCTTATGTAAGTTGTTGAAAAAGATAAACGTTTTCAATCATTAATATGCATAATCTCTTATAAGTTCGTAATTTGTTGAAGCTATTATAGTAAACAAGTTCAAAAAGCAATTTTCTAACAATGAACTGTATTCATCCAAATAACTCCAGTGCCAGTTACGCTGGTTACACAAACTGCACGAAAACTTTCGGATCAAAAAAAAAACCGTACAAAAAAGAAAAGTCAAAGACTTAGAAATAATTGATGGTGTTTCTTTAATCCGTGAGGATAAATCAGACCTTACTATAGGGTGGAAAGAAAATACAGCATTCAATTACACGTATAATATTCATGATTCATTTGACATTTTTTCTTGAATATTTATATTAAATCAAAAATATTTGGATTAGGACAAAAGATTTTAAGAAATCATAGTTTATAGGGTATTTTTTAAGATTCTCATTATAATTTTTTTTAATAAAACAAAATGTGGGTTGATCATTAAAAGGGTAGAAAAGCTGGTTCGTTCGTATGGAAACCCTTGACTGGTCCGGGGACGTGTTTGGGCTTGCATTATGGAATCGCGGCGAATCGATTTTCTTTTTAAAAAAGCGCTCGATTTGGCGTACGCGCCGAGGTCGTTATCGGGTACACTGAACCGTGTAAATTTCGTTACGAACCCGAACACGACGAAAGCCACCCTTCCTCCTCCTCCACCATCACCCACCATTGCCTCTCACCCCAACCCCCTTCGTTATAATATTGAAATATTATCGAAATCCCTTTCCATTTGGTTCCAAGTCTCTCTGTCATAATAATTTTGCGGAAATAAATTTACTCGTGTGAAATCAATTAAGTATTAAATTGTTATAAACGATTTCTCATCTTTTATAATACATTGGGTAATTTCAATAATTTTAATCTGTAATGTTAATTGTTATTATATTAATGATTTCCTGGTAATAACAAATTTGATTAAATTCAAAATAAATTATATTTTTAGATCTCAATTCGATGTTTCGTATAAAATTTAAAATTCTGTGTTAATTTTAAACCCACGAATTCATTTCGTACTCTGTATGCTTTTAAACCGAATCGAAGCACCCCATTTTCCCCAAATAGCTTACAACCAAATCGAAGCAGGTTCTTGAGTCAATAAGGAACTAATTCGATTTGCATGCAAATTTTAAAAGCTACCCTATATACTGCTTCACCATCGATAATCGTTAATGCAAAAAATAACCCCCTTCGTATCGGAGTTTCTTTAACGAGTGTAAATTAATGTTTTATGGATTACTCGGCAAAAATTAACTTTCTTTTTGTATTTGTGCAGATTTTTCGAGATGAAAACGTGGATGAATTGAGAAGAGATTGCACATCTGCCAAAGTAAAAAAAAAACCATTACCAACCACCGAGAGTGGAGGATAATGATTTTGCCGGCCATTTTAATTTAACCCTCAACAATGGCCCTATTTCGAACCAGTATAATGATTAAACCCGCCAAATCAACCAACCAGGACCACGTTTTTGGGTACGTGTTCGTGACACCAACGGACTTCTTCTTCCCCCTTTTAAACCATCCTTCTATTTTATAAACAGGGTGGAAAAGACTAGTAGGGGATGATGAGAATGGGAAGAGACTTTTTTATTTTCTACACCCCACAATTATTATGTCACCTGCCCATCCCTATTTTTTAAAATCTTTTGAAAACCACAACCAATACAAAATTAAAAATGAATCAACCCTCAAAGTTTAACCGTTACAAATAATTCGAAAATGAAAATTTGAACTTACCTTTAGTTTATACTTTCACATTTTTGGGAATTCATTTTGGTGGTAAAATAGATCAATAAGGTACGTTTCATGTCAAACATCAAAGGGATGGGATGGTCAAGGAGTAGAGAGGCTCACTTCCGGTGCATCTAGCGTACTTCCTGTCACGTTGTTCCCTTGAATCGTCCCCTACATATTGACATCCTGCGATTTTAGGGTCCTGAGAGAAAAATTAAGGAAATGGGGTTGAGTTAAATATTAACAGCGAGTTGGATTTCTTGGGTTTGGTTTTCATAAAATTTCAAAACAACACTTTCACTGTTTCTTATTAGTGTTTATTTAAATTAGATTTTATTCAGATTTTCAAAACATTTCCGAAAATTAATAAAATTAAATTAAAAATGAATTACGATACAAAAAACGATTAAATACACAAAACAAAGAGTGTACAAAGCACAAGATTATTGTTATCATTATTATTTTTTTTTTTTTTGATAGTCGGGGGAAGTAAAAAAATGCAAATTTAAGAAGTATTTTTATAAGATTCGTTTTTAAATCTAATTTTACAACATAGATTTTTTATTTAGATTTTTTTTCGAATTACGTTTTATTTCAACTACGATTTCTCTTTTAATTATATATTTCTATGGCCGAACGCGAAAGCTAAAAGCACCACTTTTTAGTTCTAATGGTTTTTTTCTTAACGAAAAAGTTAAAAGTTTTTATGAACTTTAAAGCCAAAAAATTGCAACAACCCTCTTTATTTTTATTTTTTTTTGCTAAGTTTTAAACGTTTTTAATAATGATAATAAGTAATTTGTAATAAGTAATTTAAAAGCTTCTTTTTATAATCTACGTTTTCTATTTTTTAAATAGATTAATAATTTTTATATACAATCATTTTATTTTTTTTATAATAATTTTCTTCCATTATTTTTTATTTCTTTTAAATTTTCAATTGATACGTACCGATTATAATAACTATTATTGTTAATTTATCTTAATTTTTAATAATAATTTTATTACCTCTTTTATATTTTATAATCAGTGATATTTTCGGAAGATTTTTTTTCTTTATTAGTAATAAGTATTAATAAAATAAAAATGTGCGTGTCTTTTTTAAGTTTTTTTCCTATTTTTTTTATACATGTTAAAGATAGTACTTTGGCAATATCCTGTTAGAATTGTTCCCGAAGTAAATGCATAATAGTATAAAATGTACAATTTTAAAAATCTAAAAGGTCTAAAATTGAGCTTGAAAAATCGATTATGACATCTAAAAAAGAAAAACTAAAAAAGAGAAAACCCAAAAAAAAGTCGTGGCAGTGTTATTACATTCAAAGAAACCTAAATTTTTTTTTCTTCAAATAATATTTATAATCGAATTTATATTTATCACCATTAAAATCGATTATAAAAACTATGCGTCCGTATCGCTAAAGCTTACCTTCGTAGGAGTCCTAGTTTGACTGTGATTATTATCGATACTGCACTCTGAGGCTGCTATCGAAAGTGTTAAAGGTTTCATTTTTAACGGATGTCCATTTAATTTAAAATCCACCGAACGAGGTGAATCTTTAAAATCTTTACAGTGGGAAGAACCTGGACTTACAGCCGGTTTGTTGTACTCTTGCTTATTTGTTTTCGATTTACTCGTTACTTGATCACGTAATGCCATTTGATAAGCTAATTCAAAAGCTTGTCCGAGAGTTAATATTATATCAGTTGCTTGGTCCTTAAACAGTATTTGAAAATAAAAATTAATTTGTTATGCTATTAAAATAACGTATATAGAAGGGGTCAACATGACCCGACTAACATTACTAATCTGAAGCAAATATAGGCAATTTTGTTGTTTGCCCCTTGTGGAAAGCTGGTTCAAATGGTGGCAAAATTTTGCACTAAAAATTATATAAATGTACAGAATATTCTAAAGTTGGGGATAATAAGTGGCTAAACTGTTGCCAAAGTATTTGTATGTGCCGAATAAATTGTTCTCGTTTTGCACTTGTCTTGATGGGTTTATTTTGCCGTTACGAAACTGTTATTTTGATAGGTGATATAATTGTGTATTTATTCGTTGATTTTTTTGCAACAAATATAAACCCACTAGAATTATCTCCAAGACACAAACAGTGTCTTAGAAATGTTAAAGATCACTGTTGTTAACACACGTGGCATTGCGACCATAAAATGATATCGAGAGTATTCAACATTCCCGCTGCTTTGAGCATACAAGCGCTGTTTAAGTAAATAATTATCAAAGTTGTGGGAGATGAAATAAGTTCTGGACCAAAGAATATTAAGCTAAGGAGATTGTGGTGTGAATACACGGTTGGCCTTCCCTTTAAACAAGAGTCGATTTTGGGAGAACGCTCAACACAACATTTACAAGATTTTGCTTACTATAGATCTAAAATTAAAAAGAAAAGTTATTTAAGTGTATCCAAAGTATCACTAAAAGATTTATTTATCCCTCTCGAGAGTGCCAAAGACTAAGAATTAATAAAAATTAACCATATAAAATCACAGGTAGCAGTATTGTTAAAAACGGGGTGACATTTTACGTTGCCATAGTATTCAATGCTCTGCAATAAATGGGCAAGTTGTTGAGTGTTTGTGTTATACTTGTGTCATCGTTTGTTTTGGAAAGACAAAGATCTAACTACTTATCTAACAAACTGTGTGAAGTGTTGTGACTTCGCATGCGAAATGTCCAACACTTTTTTAAAAGATACACGGCTTAACCCGAAAGTTTCTGGTTCTAGTGTTAGTGTTATTTTTAGATTTATTTCAATAAAAATCTTAGAATGGGAAAAGGCTGCCACTCAACGCTTGGACATACCCTTTTTTTCTCAAATTGACACAATAAATTAAGATAAGTAAATCAAATGTTGTTTTAGCTATTATAATGGACAAGGAATAGAACATTTTTCGTTAGGCATGGTAAGATTTTCTCCTCAGAGTTAACCAAAACCCAAATCAAGACAATTTCAAACCGACTCTACTTAACTCGAAATCAAACCAATCCAACTAATAAATGTATAAATAAATGTAAGTTAGTCCATCTTCAAATGCAGTTAAGCCAACACAAAAGCAATATTATCATAAAGTAATGTTACTATAAATAAACGGAAATGTAAATCAAACCAAAACGTTATAAACCAAACTTAGGGTTGAGGTTGACACAAGCCCACGCTAACCTCAATCGAACCTAATCTAACACCAAAGCAAATCAATCCAAAACGTTTGGGCTCTCGTCTTCATGATCTCCAATATCTAAACGTCTGCTTTACTGCTAGATTAATTAGCCTCCACTTTTCATAACAACAAATACCTATCAACAAATATTTTTTGAGTACTATATATTTTTAAGGGCTCTAATTTTATGTCTGTTGATCTTTAGTGAAAGTTTATGGATGTTTCAAGTGGTAGGCCGTCGACGACCGAAATTATTTTCGCTTTATAGCCATGAAGCTGCGATTTCTTTTGGTTCACGGTCATTTGAAATTTTCCATTGTTTTCTGTTAAGCAAGACATTTGAATAATTTTTACATGTTTCTTATCTGGATCAACCTGATATCCAAATATATTTTGCAACGCCTACCAGTGACCGTGATTTCTTGTAATATAGGATATTTGCCCATTTGAATACATACTTAGTTATACATAATGCTCAGCATATGACTTATACCTCAGACTAGATTTACATTATGAAGTGTCTTCCAAGCATTAACAAAACAAAGCAATTCAGTTTGGCATGCCCAAAACGAAATTAAGGATGTCACGTTACCAATTAGAGATGAGCCACTCCACGGAATGCGAATGCACGACTTTTGGATAATGTCATTGCCTTGTCAGATTACATAGTCATCCTGATTTCGAAGTTGATAAAAGTGTTGGGCTTCGTTGTATGTTGTAAAAGTAATGCTCCATACAAAATCGTGCACCAACCTACCTTGGTAAGGATTTGGGCGCAAACTATTCAGTTCTAACTATTCGGATATCTCTCTGCGATGTTCAATGTTGTTTAATTACTTTCGTCCCAAAATTCTAGGTGAGGGCATATTGACCATGATTGTACCATGGACCATGGTTCTGTTCTGTTATACACCCATCTATCAGTTCTACATCATCTACTCACTTACATAGGCCTAGTACGATTATTTCGATATTCGTATTGCTTCACGACATTCATCAGATCTATCATGTGGCTCTACTTTATTATCAAAGCACATACAAGCTGTCAAGAAAGGATAGGAGTATTTGTAAATGAAATCAAAAAACAGTACAAGCCAGGAAAATGTTTTCTTTTATTTTTAATATTTAGACAAAAATAGGGAAAATTTAATGTCAGAGATTATGTTGTCTAAATGTTGAGCCTCGAATGACATCGTGGGTATTCTTCTCGGGCTATATGGTGCCCCAACAAGAGATTACTTTTTCCGGAAAATTTGATTGACAACCTTAAGTGATTGGTTTGAGGTGTTGTAACTGGCTTCACCTTGTTGAAACCCTAAAACTCATGCAGTTGCTGCACCAGACGTGGCAGCAATAACTTCTGGACTATGTAAAGGTCGTTCAAGTTTCTTAGATTTTCGTTGACCCAGTTGTTTGATTACGTCACCATTTAAATAAAAGTTCGCTTCATTACTAAATAGAACGTTTAGTCACTCAACGTTCGAGGGTGATGTTGAAGCATTTCATTTGCAAAATTTAGTCGGATGCAATAGTTGGTAATGTTGAGATGTTGAAGAATCCGGATTTTGTAGGCTATAAGATGCCCTCAATCTCTTCTTTAATTATTTATTGGCTTTGAACAGAGTGCAAGGGTATTTTCAAACATTGTAATCCATTTTCTCATATCGTATCGTCCTTCGAAGCGTACCGTACGTTAAATTCTGTACGATATAAGCGTACTACATAGCTACTAAATCCCCAAAGAGCACTGCAACAACCTATCCTTACCGCGCTTCTCCAAACCGCACAGCTGTTTGGACGGCGTAGATTCAAATACCTCAGCCTACCCTTTCTGGACACCTTGTACTAATTGTTGTAAGCGCGTTAACCACCAAAAATTTATGGTTTCATTGAGTAAGATCATGACATATCCTTTCAATTATTCAAGGAACTTTTAAGATAACCAGTACGGCTCAGTAACGGAACACTATTAAGTAAATAATCAGCTACAACATGAAACTTTTTAACAACCCTGTTTGACATGTTTGGAAACACACCGGTGGAACGATAAAATATATCATGTGCGATTACTCTAAAGCTAGTTTTCAAGCATCTTGGTGGATCTCTAGCAGCTGTACACAGTTTTGCGCCAAGCAAACAAATAAATAATAAGGTGGCTCTCTGACCAATTACAAAATAAGTATCATGCTTAAAAACTTAACATTATAGAATTTTAAATAGATACTGTTACAACTTTAAAAGTTGCTTAGAAATGAAGAAGAAAAAACAATTTTATACACCATGTATCTTTGAAATTAGCAACAATGATACAAGGTATGATAAATTAGAGATACCAGGCTCTCTGATAGAGATCGTCAAACTAACCATGGAAAATGTCGAATGTGTACGCGCCCAAGGACAACTATCGAAACCTTTCAACATAAGCAGAGGATTAAGACAAGGAGATGCCTGCCTTAATATTGGAGGTGGTGGAAGATTTTCCGTATCTGGGGATTATCCTCATAGCTAACGTCGCGAAATCTGTCCAGGTAGACAAAATGTAAACTACACAAAACATTAATACGACCGGTATTAACATATGCATCACAAACTTAGGTGCTTGCCAAACGAGATTAAGAGGCACTTAGGGTGTTTGAAAGGAGGGTACTACGCACTATCTTTGGCGGAATAAGCGAAAACAGACTATGGAGAACTTCGAATTATATCAGACATACAACGACATGGACGTGGTATATCTAAAACTAATGGGAATAAAAGCATGACGAAGAAGAGCGAGAGACAGGGAAAACTGGAAGGATATTCTGAGGCAGGCCAGAGCCCACAGAGGGTTGTAGAGCCAGAGAAGAATACCTCCAGGTCAATTTTTTTTTTGATTCACCCTGTATAATGTACATACAGGGTACATAAATTTGACAAAAAATGTCGTATTTATTAACATTTCAAATATTCTGGTTTTACACTTATTTAAAGTATTATATTAATGTAAATTATTTTGTTAAAAAAATAATAAAAAAAACTTACAGAGGTATTTGTTGAGAAAACGTGGCAGTAATAATCGTTGGTGTCTTTGGTGATGTAGGCGAAATAACCCCGGAAATCAGTATCTTGGCAGGCGCAATGAACGTTTCTTATTTCATGTTCACAAATAGATTCCTAACAAAAAAAAAACAAGAAAAGGATTATACAAACAAAGTATTTTTTAAACAATCAGGTGGCACCAATAATATTAATAAGCTTTGGTATAATAATAATTATATTTGTCTTACGTGCGTTTGAATGTTAATAAATTTTAAACCCCGATAAGAAATGGAAAGAATAATCTCTTGAAGTGGTCTGTCTGGATTTTTTCGTATCTTTTGTATAGATTTTCTTGTCGATTCAGTCCCTTTAAATTCTTTTACATTTGTAGAACCCAAATACTAATAATCAAAAATAACAATTTTTTTAACTTACCCCAAAAAAAAGGATGTTTTAACTTACATTTACGTTATATTTCACATCCCCAGTTATCAACAAAATAGGTTGATGTCTCCATTGCGCTTTTATCGAATTAGTTCCACCAACAAACATATCCGAACTTGAATTACAAGCTTTAACTTCACCCCCGCTACAACCACTAAGTGGTGAGTTACTTTTATTAATCGGTGGAGGTGGAGCTGGTCTAGATTTTTTATGTCTATGTCTAACAGTACCTGTATTACTACTATTTGTTGAATGTGTTGATGGTGATTTCATTTCACCTTTTAACTAGAAATAGAAAATTTAAAAAATTATCAAAAATTCTTCGTGTTTGTATTAATTTATTGTAGCGATAATTGGCAAATTAACTGGGGCGTGTGTTTTGGCGTATGTCGAACGTGTTGAACATGTTTGTACACGCCCCGTACAAAAGCAACGGCGCGAGAATTACGTCCATCATCGAAATGGGAAGCGTCGCGACGCTCTCAGCACCCCGTCGGTTTGAAATACTAATTCTAGCGTAAAACTTTAGCAACGTGTTGAGATTTTGAACCAATTAAATTAAGCACTCTGATTAAATATCAAAACCAACGGATCAAATTAATTGAAACTTACCAAAATATTTAAATCAGCGTTTATATCCTCTAATTTAGGTCCAGGTGTAATATGTTCACCACCACAAACGCTTGCTAAAATCCTTTTTCGATGGCCAATTTTTTCGATATCTAAAACTGCCGATAATTCCACGTCCCAAATACGTTTAATTCTTTCCATATCATGATAAAGATGTTTGGCGAAAGTTTCCGAATATTGTTCTAAATGAATTCTTCTCAACCAATTATCAACACTATCAGGTTGTTCGTTCATGTTGTTATTAATAGTTTGAGGGCGTTCGTTGATTTTTATAGGAAGATGTTTTGATGAGTTTAAAATTAATTGTCGTTCGATGTCGATTGAGATTCCCATATCTTGCAAATCGGATTCTTCTAAAACTCCGTTCTAAAAAACCTCCTTTTTATTATAAAATAACCTGTGATTAAGTAAAAGTTACCAAAAAATCTAAATCATCATAACCATTTGATATGAATAAACCAACGTAATCACCCATTCCAATCGATTGCAACCACTTTTCAACAGTTCCCGTATCAGAATTTAAACTATTTTGCGAAAAACTAAGCGTCATTAAACGACTTTGAAACTCCTTTTCTAATTCAGCTACAAAAACAGATTCTCGAACCAATCCAGTTCCAAAAGACGCCATAATTTCTTGGATTTTAGCCCATTCTTCTTGTTCATCAAACGGACTTAATGCCGATGATCGATCTTTATTCTCCTTATTTTCAGATTCTTTTTCAGAACCCGACGAATTATTATAAGATTTATCGTGTTTTCCATTTTCACCATTCGAATCGTAAACCCGTTTTAATTTCTTTAAGGTTTTCGGGCGTTCAGCAGGGATTGGTTTATTCGAACTTAGAGTTTCTAATACTCTTGTAGATCCTTTTATTAAACCTGTTTAATTTTATTTATTGAATTAAAAAATATATAAACAATTTAAAAAGTTAATTGTAAAAATTTTGAATACTAGTGTTAATTTTAAACGTTGGCAACTTGAAGAATGTTACGAATGAAGAATAGCGATTCTTTGAATTCCAAGAAATATTTTTAACATACCGCTATCATTTTTGAGTAAATTCTGCTATACAGTTGTCACATTTATTTAGATTATCAAAAGACTTTCCATTAAATAGGATGTTTGGATCGAGTAGCTCAGCAGCTATGTTGCTGGTTCCAAGTTCAAATAAAGAAGGAAAGTTCACTGGTGAGGTTAGTAACTTGCTAGTGGTTAACCCTCGCATTACCATGGTAAAAACTTAATGATTGTGGCGCAAATTACTCAAAGCACCAACAAATCAATCGGATATAAGATAGTCTTACGGTAACGACACAGCGAGAAAAAGGAAAAGGGATACTGAAAGATGAATCTGATAAGACTTGGATCGGTGAATGTTAAAGCATGGAATAAGGAGAACCAAGAAATTATAATGCAGTTGAATAAGCACCGAGTAGATATCTGCGCCATATCAGAGACTAACAAGAGGAGGGGAAAGGAATACACAAAATATAGCAACTATATATTGATCTACAGTGGAAGACCGAAAAACCGCAAGAAATTACGCACCGAATACCAACAAACCAAAGGAAAAAGTAAAGAATTGTTACCTAACAGAAAGCATCCCAAAGCAACACTAACTGATGATGATGTCGACAGAGTGAAACAGCGATGCGACTAAGAAGTCATCAACCAAAGCGGAGAGCTGCTGCTAAATATAAGCATATTTCACAGTCTACGAACAAATAATATCTACCTTTTCCACAAGAATCAACACAAGTCAAAATCAACAGATATAGGAAGTGATCATGAATTGATACTGGAAAAATTGCGAATGACATTACAAACGATACGAAAAACAAAATAATTAAATAAAAAAAATACAAATTAGAATCCTTTGACAATGACACCACAAGGTTCTTGTATAAGAACAGATTACAGAGAAAATAAATGATAACGAAATGGCAACGAGAGGTAGTGTAGAAGAGGCCTGGAGGAAAGTAAAGGGAAATATACATCAGGCAGCAGAGGAATCTATAGGCAGTAGGAAAATCAATACATACAAAGCCGTGGTTCTGCGAGGATACAGAACTAACTAATCGAAAGATGACCACCACCATTATGCGACAAGCTGAAACCGAATGAATAGTGAAATAATGAGATTAAATAATACGATTGGAAAAACTTTTCGAAGTCATTGAAAGAAGATATTTACAGCACAGCGGAGAGAAAAAGATATGGAAAATGCTTAGAAACTTAAAAATACCTGTAAATAAATACGTGACACCCAATAGGAAAATAATAAAGCGAACTTGGATTTATCACAATATCACTGCTGTGAGTATAGTACTGCTCAGCGCTGATTTCAAACTACTAACTAAAATTATAACTAGTGATCTGAGTGATGTAATTCAAATATCAGAAGAACAACAGGGTCCACGGTTGCCAACCTTTGTTTTAGGTCAGATAATTGAAAAGTCTAAAGAATTGGCAAAACCAACCTTTTTCTGCTTTGTCGACATAGGCATTCGACAACGTGAAAGTCGAAGATATGATTAAAATCCTAAAGCAAAAACTAGTCAATTCCAAAATAATAACATTAATAGTAGCAGCTACACCATTATTAAATTGGATGATGAACTAACTGAAAATCTTGGTTGCCAAAGAGACAGCGTAACTCTTTGCTTATTTACCTTCATTACGGATAAAATTATTGAAAATGTTAAAAAAGCAACAGGATGTGTTACTGTGTTACGTAGATGACGTTAACAGTGAAGGTAATCGGCTACGCGTGCTTCACATTTTCTACCAGACGGCCAACCAGTATAACATTGATGTAAAATCAATTACTATCATCAAAGATCCCATACGTTGTAAGCTAGGACGCAGTAAACCATTAGATTATAGAACAAGTTATGTCATTTAACTATCTATAACTATAGAAGTATCATAAAAGAAGTGCGCATAAAAAGGAGTAAAATCGCAATGATATCTGGGTATTTACGGGGCGTAATATGGAAATACAAGTCCATAACTACTAAAAGTAAAATACGTGCTCATAAAACAGCAACACGTCCAATCGTGACATACGGGGCTGAGACAAGGGCAAACACAAGCAAGACGAAGCAAATTTGAGAACGATTGACAATGAGATACGAACGCTAAAGGGGTCGCGCTTCGAGACAGAATGAGTGTCGAAATAGGGCAGTCATGCGAGATACAAGATGTCGTTCTATGAGCGCGACAAAGACGTTGTGAATGGAACGCATATGTCGATGGAATAGACGAAAATAGAAGGAAAACGAAGTTAAAGACCACCGGGTCTTTTTCTGTCATCGCCACACACTTTATGAGAGTTACCTTAACAACTATTTGGAATTATATTTATTGTGATAAATGTAAATAACTAGGTGAGTTAATTTTTTTCATTTCAATCTTTTACTTCTATCGAAGCAATATCGTGCAACTATTAACATGGTAAGAAAGAGCTTAGTACAAAGAATAGAAGCAGTTGAGATACGGTTGAGATATTAGGTAATCACTTCGTAGTACGTCTATTTTGAAAAAAAAATTGCACGGGAACATCATATCTGCGATTATTAGAGAATGAAAGAATTCCACTAATGACAAGAATTGAAGAACAAAATCCAAGGGAATTTCAAGTCAATGATGTCTTGCAGGAGGGTGAAGTCAGCACATGAATGGACAGGCCGTTATATCGAATGAACAGCTCAATATCCATACCTAACGCCATTGGATTTTTATAGGAATGTTTCAAATGTAAAGTGTACGTAAAATCGATGGAGACCATTGAAGGATTAAGGGAAAAAATTATTGAAGTCTGAAGAAACATTGATTCTGACGTACTTAGTCGTATGATGCAGGAAACTTTGTAAAGGTGATAGTGCTGTCAAGAAGTTAAAGTTCTCAGTTAAAGGATCATAACCTTATTTTATGGATAATAATAATAGATAAACCGTAGAAGGTAACATACCCTTTATAACTGCTTCGCTGATATGACGAAAGCCTTTGATAGAGTACCCTTAAAAGACATTGAGTTATTAGTAATTGAGAAAAGAACGCCATCCAACAGCACAAAATCATAACAAATTGTAATATAGGTAACATAACATAACAATGATTTAAACAGGCGAATCATAGTAGACCGGAGTGAAAAACAGAAAAGCTTCCTAATCGAATCGTAACAGTGCGGAAAACTTGCTACTCGTTAATACGAATTCAGAGAAAAAAAAAATTTTGAAATCGGACATTCAAAGTTTAGGAATTTGAACAGAAATTGACGGGATATACGAAAAATCGTAGGAGGTGGAAATGATGTCCGATCGAGCTAATTTTTCATACATAGCATAATCTTGAAGTATACTACAAGAAAAAAAATGCCAACCCCTCCTACCCCACCCCCTTTCCACACCGTAGAGGGGGTTGAAAAGGCAATTTTTCGTTAAGAATAGCCAGAATTGCAGGTGGTGTAAACCAGTGTGAAAGTTGATTTATCTATTTGAATTTTTATACAAAACGACCTTGGGGCTTAAAGTCGACAAATGGTCTAAAATGCAGAATGCTGTGTCTTTTCCACTTTTTGAGGTAGGTACTAAATGACAAAGGTACTCCGAGCCTGGTTCCTTAATTACTGAAACGTGTTCTTCCTTTTGTACACATTGGTATCGTTTGCCTCCTTTATCAACCAAGATTAAAGTGTCATCCATTTTACCATCGAAGTACACGCACGTTCATTTACCCCATTACCTCCTCCGATGCGGTAAGTTTTAATCTACATTTTTCTTTCTCTCTTCTAATTTGGTTCTATCAACGATAAGAAATGTATTACTATCAGTAATAAGACCTAGGTCTTTGAGTACGCTAAAAGTAACAGCACCTGTTGCTCTCAGACACACCAAATCGATCACTTGTCAACGCAGTTGTAGGAAGTGACAGTCGCATCTGTGAAGTTTTTGAACAACCTGATTGAGACGACAAAGAGTGTGCGGACTGAAAGTCGGAATCATACTTATCATTATCAACTTCAAAAGTTATCTCTGGTTGAGGGTCAATACTGCTACAAGAGGGTTGGGACGAGCTAAATCTATCTCTAAGCTAAGTCTCTGCAACCTTAGTGTAAGCTTTTGCGATTGTTTTGTATTCACCGTCCCAATCTTACCTTGCCTGAGGTGTCTCTGAGCGTAAAGAAATCTTATTTGTAATTGAGGCAAGTGGGACAAATACACTTGTCAAAGCTTTTTCGCAAAAGCAATGAAGTGTCATCTCACATTTGCACAAATATCAAATAATGTGTTTGAACATTTTTCAATAAAATCCTTATACTTCATTTGTTTCTTACCTGTGTTTTTGTCCCTTGAATAGGATTTAGGATTTACGATGAGCGTAGTATCGGTCTAGCATTTTTTTTTCTGGTAATGTACTTCAGGTTATGCTGCGTTCAAAAAATTAGCTCGATCGGATATCATTTACACCGCCTACGATTTTTCGTATATCTGTTCAATTTCTGTTCAAATTCCTAAACTTTGAATGCGATGCGTGAACAGAAGATATTGTCCGATTTCAAAAATTCTTTTTTCTCCGAGTTCGTATTAACGAGTAGCAAGTTTTCGCACTATTACGATTCCATTCGGAAACTTTTCTGTTTTTCACTCCGGTCTAATATATAGTCGCTAGTATACGATACCAGGCTGAATTAGACAAGGAAACATCGTACAAGTAGTTCTGTTTAATCTGATTATGGACAACATTGTACAGGAGGAGTCGACGTTGAATTTCGGCTATAGAATAAGCAAGGATAAAGTCAGTAATTGATTAAGATATTATATATTGTTAATTAAGAATAAGTCAGAAACGAAAGATGATGAACAAATTACATGCAAACTTGTGGTAAAAAACAAGCCCACAGAACAAGTCAGTCAGTTCAAATATCTTGTGAAAAATAAGTGTTAAAAATGAGATCAATAAATCGATATCTTTATCAGGATGCTGAAAAGAGATCGTTTGGTCAAATAATAAATAATACGTGCGAATGGGCAGCAAGATAAGAAACATAGAGATCAAGAGAGAGTGGAACGATCATGTGAAATGGATGAATGAAAGCTGATCTCCGCGTATAGTTAGAGGGATAACCAGCTCGGACACCAGGAAGAGAACCCAAAAGATGGTAAGACAGATCACAAGACACCACTTATTATGTTAGACAATATGAGAATTTTGCAATAATTTGATTTAATTAAACATAAATTGCACCTGATATTCTAGGAATAAAACAAAAATGATCAGAAACATTGATAAAGTTATATTATTTGAGGAAAATTTTCACTAAATTCGTTCATTCTTATGCAAATTTACAACTAAAAATATCGACTTTAAACCCTAATTCCATGGAGTTGAAATGCTTTTTTGGTTTGTGGAATATCAAAAAAATCAGTATTTTTTTCTTAATATCATAATTATCATCTTTATAATATTTAGGATTTCATAGAATTGTTTTTACTAAACAAATTTGACTATGCGTTGAAATAAAAAAACAAAACTTGTTGATTTAACAAACAAATCTTAAATAATAAACCTTACGGGGATTGTAATTTTAATTAAAAGCTTCGGGAGTTGGAAAAGCGTGAAAAGCGACCACGGAAAAAGGTAAACAAGGTACCCGAAGTAGAAGAGAATATTATAACGAAACAGAGAAACACAGAAAGAGTACAAACAGTTCGTTTCAGACTTTGCGAAGGGAAAAGGTAAAGTTTTGCGGAGACGGTTTTATTAATTTCGTGTTATATTACGAAAGGTTTTTGGGGGCCATAAAATAAAAAAATCGATGAAAATGTTAATGATCTCGTTGGAAAATTTGTAGTTTCATTAAACATAATATATACAAAATTAATTACCTTCACCCCCTCCGCATATTTATACGCATATCCGGTTTATTATATTTACTGTGAAACGTATCGGCTCGATGTTTAAATGTGTATATGTTTTCGGAGTAAACGTAGAAATATGGGGGTTAGGGGTGTATGAGGGAATAGTGACGGGGTTAAATTAATTTTGTACGATGGTAAATTATAAATTTTGAGTTAATTAATTTCTAGTTTTAATTAATTTTCTATTTGCAATTTCGTGGCGCGCGTCAACGTACACGTTTTCGGTTCTGCATCCAACAAAACCAACGATAACAAAACTGGAAGCCTACTGTTTGCCCATATACTCGTCCACCTCTTTTATTTGTTTTTAAAAAAATGAAAATAAATTGAAACAAACGGTCTGGCTGCTAGATAGACGAGAGCGCGTCATGTTGAAATTAACACAATGAGAGAACAACTCCCGGATTTTAATTAAAGTTACCAGGTTTGACTAACAAAAAAAAAGTAAAAAACTAATAATAAAAGTTAAAAAAAAATTTTTAAATGTTAAAAAGTATGTAGCCGTAAAAAGTTGAATATTTCAACAAGTTTAAAATTTAATGAAACAGCTTTCATTGCTTACCTGCAAACGGAGCATCCGAATGATATTCTTCCACTATGTTATCGACACTCCTATCGGAAAGTGAAACGCTACTCGAGAAACTTCCACTTGATTCGTCGTATATTAATAAAAATTCATCTTCGGTTTCAGTTTCCATATCGCGTGATCTTCGTTTATACTCCTAAATAATTTAGTTTCCTTTGTCTTTTTTAATTTTATATCAAGTAAAAAAAATTTAACTTTACACAAATAAAATAAATAAAGGGCAAACCTCTTCAAGTATGTGCCAATTAATTTATGAAAACATTGTTTCAAATTTAATTTAAGTTTTCTAACAAATTTTGCATTTACAAGTAGAGACTTGAGTAAATGAACTATGTTTATTGTATTTATTATTATGTGCAATTTCTTCAATTTAAATTGTATTTAAAATTGTCAATGAAACATAATAAATAATCCAGAAATTCACTGAATTAGATTGGGTTGACAAATTTATAATGTAATCTCATTTAGATTCAGTGCAAACCAAGAGAACAAAAAGCAAAATTTATAAAACACTTACTAGAATAGTGATAATGTATGGTTCAGAGACCTGGGTAATGACACAAGTTGACGAAAGATTGCTGGGAACGCTTGAAAGGAAGATACAGTAATACCCCGACTTACGTGAATTCGGAGATCGTAATATGTCCGTTATATTTTTTGTAGGGTATTCCCCTGTTTCGCTCAATATCGGATTGAATCATAAAATTTTCTAGCTCCGTCAATTTATGCGAGTTCTTTGTAGAGAGTTGATTAATCAGTCAGTACATACCTATCATAAAACGTGATTTTAAATGTTTTAGAATAACGTAAGTATTTTATTATGTTATACATACTGCATACGTAAACATTAGTTGAAAAATTAATTTATTTTCTGTCATATTAGTTATTATGTCAAAGAGAAGGAAAGAATTCGTTTCATCGAATTTTATAAAAAAACGCAAAATCTTGACATTAGAAATAAAGCATGTGATTTTAAAAAATTTTGAACAAGGCCTGAAAACATGTGAATTAGCAAACAAATACAATTTATCCTATACTACTGTGTAGTATAGACTACAATAATAAAAGACAAATGTAATATTCTCGACGCAGTTAAAAATGTTCAGCCGTTAATTTCTAATATAATTCTTTACTTAAAGTATGGTGCGAAAACAAAGTAAAAGTCAAGAATTGTCCAGTTGACCAAAATTTTATATGCAATCAAGCCAAACAGATATTTGAAGAACTAAAGACACAAGTTGGTGAAGAAGCAAAAGATGAAACCTTTCTGGCCAGCAATGGTTGGTTTTGTCGTTTTAAAAAAGATGCGACTGGCACAATATTGCACAGAGTGGAGAAGCAGCATGTGCAGATAAAGTCGCTGCATCTACTTTTCCTGGCTAATTAAAGCATATAATACAAGAAGGAGGCTATAGTTCACAGACTATATTCAATGTCGACGAAGTGATGGAAAGGTGTTTCCAGGGTTTAAGGCAGCAAAAGATCGATTAACGCTTATGCTCGGCGGAAAAGCTGCTGGCGATTGTAAATTGAATTCATTATTGGTGTATCGATCTGAAAACTCCAGAGCCCTAAAAAATAAATCCAAATCAGGATTGCCAGTAATTTGGAAGTCAAACCGAAAAGCTTGGGTTACTGCTTCTTTATTTGAAGACTGGTTTCAGAATCACTTTGTCCCGGAAGTTGAACGGTACTGTTCCTCTAAAAACATCGCATTTAAAGTGATATTAATTATTGATAACACACCTTGACACTAGGCAGCTAACCTTATCAACTATGATCCTCGCGTCAAAGTAGTGTTTTTGCCCCCAAAGACTTCAACCTATGGATCAAGGTGTTGTAAAAACATTTAAAGCTTATTATACTCGACGATGCTATTAGATTGATAAAAGAATCGTGGGACGAAGTTTCCTCAAATACACAGAAGGGGATTTGGAAAAACATTGCCCGGACTTTTTCGCTATTTCACCAGAAACAGCGCCAGAAAATGATATAACCGAAGTAGTACTAAATATTGTGACTTTAGGAAAACAAGTCGATTTGGTAGTTGATAATGAAGATGTCATTGTGCTTTTGAAGTCGCATGATGAGGAGCTTACTATGCAAAATTTGATTGAAACACAACAACAAAATGACAGTGAAGAAAGTGATGTTGCACAACCGGAAAATACCCTAACCATCGCAAATTTAACAGAAGGGCTTAATTGCATACAAAATGGTATAAAGGTTTTAGAAGAAACAGATAATGACGAACGCATTATGACAGTAAAGAGAAGAATAGAACAATCAATTGTCTGCTAGCAAGAAATCCTACGTGAGAAGAAAAAGAATTTGTGTCACCAAACTACCATTACCAGTTTTATAAAACCGTCCAACTTAAATGACTAAATGTAAATAAATTAGTATACAAAACATAAATAAAATACTAATTTTTTTCTGGCTTGTTTCATACTGTTATTAGAATGCATAAATAAATTTGATTTAGAATATGTTTTGGGTTTACCTTTTGTTGTACATAAGTTTTGCTTCAACCTATCCAGATACTCGACTTACATAATTTTCGACTTACGTATCCTACCCAGTCCCACCTATTACGTAACTTCGGGGTTTTACTGTACTTAGACACATATATCGAGGAATCCAAGAACAGGCGTTTTAACCATGAACCATAACTATAAATATTGGAAAACTAAGATGGATAGCACATGTGGAACGGATGAAGGAGGTGGAACCAACGAAACAAATTGTTAGACAAACACCGGTAGGACAGACATTGAGAGGAAGGCGAACGACAAGGTATATGGACCACGTGGAGGGGGATGTAAGGACACTCAAAGTGAGAAATTGGAGCACGGTAGCGCGTAATAGGGAGGAATGGAAGAAAACCTTAAGCTCGTCAAGACTTTTCCAGGGTTGTAGAACCAACGATAATGACGAATATCAATTAGAATGAATGTTTATCTAAATGCCAATAAGCATGACATTCTGGAAGTGTCTCATTTCGAAGAGAATCATCATTAGTTCAAAAATATTGTAAAAATATATATATATATTTTGACCTGTATCCATTATATCAGATTTGTTCTGTTGCCCTCGAATCACTATTTCTCAACGCCAAATGCCGATGCTTATCACTTATCAATCAATACTTCCAAGTCATGTATTATTGTATGCAACAGTCCAAGATAATTAATTTTTAGTAATGAGCGTCTTATTTATTCTTAAATAAGATTTCTTTGTACTTCTTGCATTTTTTACTACATGACATACATTCCTAGGAATTCCCACCACAATACAATACAAACCCTGGTCAGGCCGTCACCACCAAGTTACGATTCCTCCTTTAATGACACAGTCCATAACTTACTTTCTGGCATTCAGAGATTTCGGACACGTAACACGCATTTTAAAGTGACAATAACAAAACTTCCGTTCTGACCGTTGTTATCCGGAATGCACCCGAGTCTCGAGATTGCGCAACCAAACGGATTCGGATTTCGCTGAAGTTTTCCAAAATACATAATATACCTTTTTGCGCAGATTTTAAAATGCCTATTATGATGCTTTAGCTAAGCAATCTTTTGGAATGGTCACACAGAGGATTTTGTTCTCTTCCTCAATACCTTCATAGAACACTTATGCATATCATTTATCCTCTTCTTTTAGTGAGACTGCATCATAATGCTTTTGTTCCTAAACCAGCAATATATCTTCAGAATCTAACGATTTCAGGAGACGTTTCGGCAACGTAGCCGAAGGACCGATTTCTCCTGGATGTAACGCGGTCCATCTAGGATTGCTTTCTTTTACAATAACACAGGTTTTAGAGTAAAGCACCCATAACTATGGAAACGCACCATCCTTGAACGCTAAGTATTTTGCAAGATATTACACATTAACTTATACAGAGGTAATTTTCCAGAATTGCTTAACAGGCATCATCAGGTTTACGTACAAGGATCTTCAATTTAATCCGAACGATCGCGAGGCATTTGGAGCAGGGATCCTTAATTTTAATTTAATGAGTTCCTAAGTAACATTTAGAATTTTTTATTCTTGAAAATTTCGTCTCTTCCATACGACTTATCACGTAATACATTTTCCAACACTGCCCAAATCGCCCAATTTATCTCGCATAATTTATATGTATATACTACCCAAATTAATAGTCGTAATTTGAGTTAGATTAAGTTGGGTTGAGTCCAATTAGAAAATTAGAATAACCTCCAGGAAACTGAACGAAGAAAGTTCTTGTACCACCCATTTTGTGCATTTTGTTAAAACACAAAGAAGAATTGTTTTGAAGAACGTCACCTTATAAACCTATCAATCATGAAATGATAATGTATTTCTTCTATTAAGGCCTTTTAACGATATTTCTTTAGAAAGATGATAAAGACTTCAAAAATTTGCATATTGGAGTAAAAACAGACGAGTAATAAGCAACGCCTTGAAAATCTGAGCCAACTAATTAATACATAAGGAGGGTATTATATTCCAAATAAGGATGAAAACGAAAGATGACAAAATGTTGGAAACGTTTTGCCTGGACAAAACTAATGAGACTTTGTAAAATAAGTATATTTCAAATGGTAAAGAACAAATTAGAAAGATGACGGTGTTGTTTCCGATGGTACATGTTGCCTAACAAATATAGCAAGTATGATACAAAAACGTCTGCTTTAGTTGATGCCAAGATAACAAAACAACCGATGCATCATTTCTTAAGAGCAATTATCTGAATGTTGTAAGTATAATGGTATCTCAGGAAGAGCAAATAAATCTATTCTTGATTTTAATTTTTGGCCAACCGTGCTTGTCGGCAGAGCAATTCGAGGAGTAATCAAAAAATGATCATTTTTCCGCCTAGCTGGATCAACTTTTCTCCTGTTGATAGAAACTATAAAAATCGTTATGTAATTGCGATTAGTTGCGGCACTTTTCCGCCCCTAGGTAGAGATTCCAATAACTGACTGCAAGATTTAGTCTACTGTAAACTTTCTACAGTTTTAGCATCTTCCTATATTCTATATTCATAACTATCACTTCAAACTATGTTCTTCTGCTTATATCCGATCAAATTTTTAACAACGCCTATTAGTTTAATTATTTAGCATAATACGGAAAACTAAAAGAGATATACTTCCAGAGTTTACTAGTTCAAGTTTAGTTTGTAATCAAGAATTGTTAAGATTGCTTGGTTTTGCTTACCAAAGAGGTACAAAATGTATAACTTACGGATTTCAAGTATGCATTATGATGACACAATTGGCGAAGACACAAATAAATGATAATTGATCCTATTCAAAGTTGAGTTAGGTTGGACATATAATTTATTAATACGTAAATCTATTTATCACATGAACTTTGAATAATAAAGGAAACTGATATGAAGACATGAATTCGCACGAAACTTATCTGTATTGCCACTGTTAAGGATAAGTTTTGATGAGCAGGAAAAAATGTTGATGACAGGTACATAGTCTTCTCATAAGAAGCTTTCAAAGTGATGGACTAACTAATACCTTATGTTTTATATAGGTTATGAGTACAAAAGGTAACAAATGATGCAAGCTATCTCAGCTTTAATCTTTTAGTTAGTGAAGCCAAAACTTCCCAACTTGGCATATAAATAACTGTTGTATACAAAATTGAGGCCACTATTCATGAAATTCCTTTCTTGACACTTTATAATATGTTAATGATATATATTTTTGAACATACAGGCTGTCCGGAAATGACGTGTACAACGCAAGACCACAAGTACCTTGACCAAAAATATGATGATTTAACTCAACTTATCTATATACAAAATTGCTTATTTGCGTTTAGCCGCTAGAGGGCGTTAAACATTCATGATGTATCAAATATAAAAAGCAAAACAAAAAATACGAATACCGCTGTCAAGTTTAAGTGACAAACTGTCATTTCAGTCATTTCGAGACACCTGTATATCGAAGTTCCTATCGATTTCTAAAATTCCTAATATTTTGCTTTTTGAATTCAAAATCTTATCAATAATCATTGTATATTGCAATAATACTACGTATTGCAATAATAATCTTAAAATTCCAGAAAATTTAGCAACATTTCCATTAGGATTTTTTATAGAAAAATTTGAAACGCATGAAATTGCAAAATTGCACAATAAAACTGTTTTCTCAGAGGTTTAGCACTTCGAAAAACAATAAATAATAAATAAACAAGGAAAAATCAATATAAATAAAAAGAAGGAAAATAAAATAAACAAATTAATAAACAGTATAGAATATTTATTAATGAAACTTAAACAAAAAGCACAAATATATTCTGATTAAAATTAAAAAGAAAAAAAAAATATCACATAGCTGCTCTTTAAAAAAATTATAAACTTACTTGACTTAATGGTCGTATCTTATCCAAAATGCTATTTTCCGCTTGTAAAGCGTTTGGTGGTGGATGATCGGGTGTCGGTGGTTGTTGATAATGAGTAGGACTCAAAGGGTAACTAAAAATATTATTAGGACTTTTCGAACGCTTATTTTCCTTATTCATCCTCTCCCTATTAGATTTGTCTTTACTGATCATAGTTTTCGAATCACGACCGTAATCCTTAATCATCAAAAAAGCTTTAGAAACGAATGTAGCTTCCGGTGCTGAAGAACAGGGGGTCGTTTTTTCTTGTCTACGTTTCGTATCGAAATCCTCGAAAACATTTCTGCGTAATTTCCGACGCGGATTTTGTTGTTTTATGGTCATATTTTCGTACGTTCCGGTTATGGCTACTGGTTCGTCGCGTCTTCGACAATCTAAGTCTTCGCTTTTACCCCTCATTAATTCTTTTTTCTGGGGTTGTTCATCATCTATCGGAATATTAAAAACTGCATTCATCTCTACGTATTGATCGACACTTTTACCAGGAACCAAACGTTCGCGTTTATTTTCATGTTCGAGGTCGGTTAAATTATTTTGACTTCTAGTTCCGGTTTTTGCAAAACAAATATATTCGTAAGCTTGATTGTTATAACCATCAACAGATTGCGACATTGGTTGTTGATGTGTTGGCGAAACTGATAAATTACGCCTTGGTGGTTTTTTCGGTGGTGTTGGCTATTATTTGTTATTTTAACAATTTTTATCAAAATAATAAAAGCGAAAATAAAGGAACTTACCGAAACTTTTGAATTGTTCGAACCCGGACTGTGTCCACTACGGGCATTCATTGGAACATAATGGGGTGTTCCACCGCTTTCCGGTCTTCTAGGATATCCGGTACTGGAAGCGGTCGAAGAAATACTGATCTGGTCGCTTTCGCGATTGTTACAGAAGAAAAAATCGTCTCCGTGATCCATAAAGGCACGGGGAGCGCACGGGATTTGATACAAACTGTTGTCCGACTCCCTGGAAGAATCCGAAGCGGTTTTGTAGGAAGACAAAGAACTCGAAACAAAGTCTTCTTCGACGTGCAATTTCTTGATCGTGATTTGCTCGCTAAAGCTAAATGTGATTCCTGACCACGGGGAGTGACAATCATGCAAAGAACGGTGCGATGACGGCGGATTACGAACGCGTTGATTTGGCGGTAAGCTTTGGTAAGGCTTTTTTGTGCGCCTAAAAAACATGCATTACCAAAAAGAAACACAACAAGAAAACAAACCAGATTTAAAATGAATAAAAATGAATTGAAATTAATTATAAATTGCAACAAGCCGTGCAAATTGAGAAAAATCTCTTTAAAATTTGTGTACACAAGATATTTTCTAATTCAAAATTCCGCAAAAGAGTAAATTTTATATAATACAATTATATCTGTTATGTAGACATGAAATTTCTTGGAATGGAAATTCCAATAGTTTTTAAAATTTACAGTGAAGCCCCTCCATTCAAAGCAGATATATTGGGGTTAACACTGGAATTTAATGGAATTCCTGGAATTGCTTGAGATTCTAAGGAATTCTGTGAAATTTGCTCTGCAAATTGCCAGTAAAATTCAACTGATTATTAAAATTTTTATAAAATTGGAAATTTTGATGCACAAGTAATCAATTTCCTTTTTTTATATCAGTACTATAACTACTAATACTTTTTGACATTCCAATAATTTTAACCAGCAACAACACTCGATACATTAATCAAGTTGTCATAAATTTTAGAAGAATTGGTTGAAAATTTGGAAACTATTCTAATTGTTAATAGTAAGTCCAGTACGAGCTTTGGAAATTGTTTGAATATTTGATTGATTTCTACGGATTTCTTTAAAATTGTATGAGTTAGAATTACACCTAGAATTATAGAAATTCAATAAAGTTTTCAAAACTTGATCAATTTCCAAGAAACTCCAAAATTTCTTACACTTTTGTTGTCCAAAACATTTTTTTTGTAGCAGACCAACCTAAGCACACTGAATAACTGCTATATGTGGCATAACAATCTGCTAAAGCTCAAAATTTTAAAGCGTATTTATCTAGTTTACTCTTCGTATATTTGTGAAAAGAAGCTTTCCCGAAAACGCACAAAATGGACATCAACACATAAATGTGGCCTAAATAGATTGTATTTCAGTTTAACACAAACATTGCAAAAACTTCCTTTAGCAAAAAGAGTCAGCTTATCAGGTTACAAGGTTTCATCACGAACATAATTATTGAATATTAATAAACACAACATCTGCATAAACCTTGAGTGCGACCGACAAACTTATACCATATATTCCGGACGTCATTACGATCAAAAAATGGTATATCACCTATAGGTGAATTCCTCTTTGTTTCGGAGATATCGAAATAAAAATAAAAAAGAACAAAACAAAATGATAAAAGAAAATTTATTAATTTACTAATTAACACAAAATTACAGCAGCTGTTCAAAATGAGAACCGTCATTTTCTAACTATGCAGCTATCCTTCGTGTTATAGAATGTTGCTAGTTAATTTGTTTAGCGAATTAGTAGCTTCAACTATTCTGTCAATCAACTCTTCGCGTGTATCTAGTTTACCATTACTACTATACGTACGAGATTTGAGGCAACCCCACAGGAAATAATCTAGAGGCGACAAGTGAGGTGACCGAGCTGGCCAATGTACAGGACCATCGTCCTGGACCTCGTCCTATCCACCTTTCCGGAAAATTTTGATTAAGAAATACCGTCACTCGTCTCCCAAAATATGATCGTGCCTCATCTTGCTGGAGCCACATCCCAAGACGAGCTAGAGGAGTATCTTCTATGTAATTCGGCAATTCTTCTTCCCAAAAATCAAGGTAAGTTTCTGCACTAAGACGTCTTTCAAACGAATGAGGTCCCACAAGTTGATTATTTAACAAGCCGGAAAACGCCGGTACACGTTGACGGAAAAACGATATTGATGGTTAAGAACGATTGCTTCGTGTGGGTTTTGATCCGCCCAGATGTGAGAATTATGTGTGTTGTTAATACCATTTCTTGTAAACTAAGCCTCATCCGTAACGCAGGAAGTAAATGCAGGACTTTGTGTAAATGATAGGGATAAAGTTCATCATAGTGCAGAATTCTCCATACGTTGGTTTGAGGAATTGCCGTTGTATGGGACTTCGTTCAACTGCATTTAAAACTGCTTCAGACAGCATAAAAATCATTAATTTATCAAACATTAAATCGTCAAGACTAACTATCACTTTTTTTAATTCCTTCTATATCTCCGAAATAAAGAGGAATTCACCTATAAGTGATATATCATTTTTTGATCGTAATGACCCCCGGAATATATGGTATAAGTTTGTCGGTCGAGTCACGGAACAGCCTGTATAATACGTGCATCGACTCTTTATTCGCAAAAAAAACAAGAGATTCTGTGATCTGGAAAGATTGCCAGTGGACCATGCTAGAAACACCAGACACCAAAAGAGCATCTAGAAGACCATCAAAAAGATAGTAAAACAGTTAGACGTCAGGGTCGCAGAAGGCTTAAAAGTAGAAAAACAAAACATCGTCCTATAAGAAGAGAAAGAAGAAGATATTTTTATTTTATTGTTGGGTTAGGATTGCTGTTGTTGCCACATCTTTTCATTTTGTCTTCTAAATTTTGTAATATTTTGTCTCTGCTTTTTGTAGTTGTTGTTGATTTCCGTTTTGATTTCTTGGTTAAATAGATTGCATTTCGTCTTTCTGACTTAGATTTGTAGGTATTATTTTTTACCTATGTTCATACTATGTAACAATCTGACAATAGACTGTTTGAGGTTTCCAGTTTTATTTTTTATTATCGTAACATGTACTGGATATTGGCGATGTTATTTGCTACATGGATTTGTGTTGATTCTTCCGGTCCTGACACTTACATTTAGTTTTTCAGCTATCTTTTTTAGATTTTTTCCTTTAGTATTAGTTTTACTACTGTTCCAACCATTATGTTTTTTTTGCTTAAGTGGTCCGCTATGTTGTCTAGGTATCAAAGTTTTCTTTCATTTAAGTCTTTTGATAAACAATTATCCCGTCGTGAAAATATTTAAAGGTATTAGCTATTGAATTGCATTGCATAAATTGTTAGCACCATATTCAGGTACTTCCCCAGGCCGCAGGGTTGCTTTAATAATATAGTTTAGTATTCTCAGTTTATTTGTACTAAAATGCGTTTCCATTATTGACATTACATCTACTTTCATGTATTCAAAGAACAACGTGAGCTTGATTGTATACTATTTATACCGACCTAGTATGCCAAAGTTACATTTCTATTTGTATTCATCATCTTATTATGTAATTCTATTAATTTCAGCCACTTTAAAAAAAAACCAATTGCTTGTTCTATGATTGATGTTGTTACCATGAAGTCATCGAGGTTGTCTGTGTTTTCTTCTTTTTTCATGTTTTGTTATGTGATTATCACCATCTTTCATGCATTTTAATTGTCCATTACAGGTTTTTTGGGTCGTGGGCTTTAATTTTTCCTTATCCCGTTCTTTTCAGTCAAATATTGAGTATTTTTCAATATAAATGTCTTATTTTTATGGTATTCCTATTCAATGGCAGACTCGATGTTTATTCTCTACAGAATTAATCTTGTTGCAGTTAATGATTTTATCATTTTCTGATTTGATTTTCATTGTGTTCTCTTTTTTACTATTCCTTTCGTCTACACTTTTGGAAGATAATGGAGAGAATAAAGTAGCGTGAAGTTTTCTACGTTTATTATTAAGTAAGGGTGCTTTCTAGTGCTTGGCTACATTTCTTTCTCAAATTTCATTCACTTCACCATCTATACACACCACGACCATCTATATCAAACATCATCCAAATCAGCGGAGCTGGCAATGTTGTACGACGGCTATCGTACAATCTATCAGCTGACTGCCCGTGACTACTCTATGCTTGGAAGGAAAAACCAATTTCCTTGGGAGTCAAAAAGAATCAAGTGCCGACGAAGCATCGCCTAGTCCTCAACAAGCTCCACAACAGTAAGACCATCTGCTTTATTTATTTGGGTTCCTTCCTGGACTTGTTATTTTATATTATAACATTGTTGTAATTATTGTGCAGTGTAAATAATCTACTGATTAAGAACCATGGCTTTACGTTCCTCAGAAAGCGATAAGTGTTTAGCTGAAACTGATAACGATGACAAATCAGATTTTGAAGGAAGCCACTCCCTACCTTGGCAAGGACACATTGATTGAGTCTAGCTGAGTTTTTTTGTAAAAAACCTCACCCAACCACTGTATGGGACAAATAGAAACATAACAATAGACAATTGGTTCAAGTCAGTGCCACTAGCTAGTTCATTGTTACAATACCCTTTCAAATTCACAGTATTAGGAACAATTAGGAAAAACAAGAGAGAAATTCCAACCCAGATGCTTGTTAAAAAACAGAGCCATAGGAGACTCCAAGTTTTGTTTTGACGGACCCAAAGTTCTATGTTCATACAAAGGGACAAAGAAAAATGTCGTCTGCCTTCTATCAAAAATGCATGAGGGTGCTACGATTGCCGAAAGTGGAAAACCAGAATGGATTGAGCATTATAACGCAACTAAAGGCGGCGTTGATGCTTTTGATAAAATCCTTAAGCTGTTAAAGAAGAACAAAAGGTGGCCGATGTCTTTTTTTATGGACTTGTGAACACGGCTTGTATTAATGCTTATGTGATCCACAACCAAAATCTCATGGATAAAAAAAAACCAATAATACGAAGAAAGTTCATGGCTGAGCTCTACCAACAACTTACCCACCCATTTCTTCAGATGAGGTAAGATAAAGAGAATATTTTATAAACTAATAATGAGTACTATTTTTTTACTATATAAAATTTAGTATCAAAATTCAAGAAACATAATTAAACTATTAACAATAACAATTTGCTTTTTATTCAAGCATTGATTATCGCGTGACTGAGTCATTTCAGGTTACTGCAGCCTACGCTCCAGCGATCGCTCCGATCACTTATCAGTAACGTTTTGGGTAAAGACAAGCCAGTAGAAGTTGCACCGGCTCGCGAAAGAAGGACGACATGCACTCTATGCTCGTACAAAAAAAGAAGAAGGACAACCAATTATTGTACAAGATGCCAGAAACTATTTTGTGGCGAGCACCATGCGAAAATGTGCACTGACTGTTTGTAGTAACTTGTGGTAGAAATCGTACCAAAGTGTGACAAAAAGATTTAATACATTGATCATTTTTATTTCAAGCATTCTTACATACAGAAGTAGGTATATCCTGCATTATCAATAATCTAAACCTTATTTATGTACATATAATAATAAATTGAAGTAAAAGATTGAAAAGAAAAATTCATGTAAAATACTTTCTCAGTTTTACATAACACATTTTAACCATTTATTTTTTCATTTTGTTTCAAACTATCAAAATTTAATCATAGAATTTCACGGAATTTATGAGAAATTAATATTAATTTTATTACTACATAAAATTTCTCTATTTATACAATGAAATTCCACTACGAATATTTTAAAATCAATATATTTGTCTGAAATTTCAGCATTTTTTTTTTCAAGAAAATCGAAACTTGCAGTCTCAATAACTTCCATTGTTTTCGATGATTTGAAGTATCACGCGTGCAACTCGGCCTGTAAGAGCCTATTGTGCAAACTCTTTTCAGGCGTGTATATTAAAGAAGACTGCTTCCACTACAACTTTCATAAAAACCCCTTATTTCTACAATAAAAATCCAAAGAAATAATACAAGATATTTCTTTAGAAACCCATATGATTTCTATCCTTTAATGAAATTTCGGACACATGTATCTTTGGAAATCGTTGGAATGATCTAAATTTAAAACATTTTCAAAAGACACCATAAAAATTTCAATAATTTTAAGAATTCATAAGAATTTTGTCATTGTGTACACTAAATTTTTTTAGAGGTTCTCTCGGTGCATATCAAATATACCAAAAAAAATCAAAAAAGAAAAATTAACTTACATAGAAGTAGCTGATGTTCCAGATATTCTTCGATCTTCAACACATTCAACAGACCTTGCATGTCTAAAATCCCATCGAAGTGGTGAAGATCCTGGAGATGGATCTGTAACAGCTCGACCCCTTGAAGAAGGTCTTACATTTTCATAAGGACTCCCTAAGTCCGAATCTGGGTTTGGAATGATTGGGAATGGTTGGCTTAAACTATCGGCATCACCGTCGCCGAAATTACCACGTATTTTCTTATAACCTTGCAAATACCCTGCATTTCAACAAACAAAAACCAGATTAAATTCGCTTATAAAATAAATTAAAAAATTACGTTTTAATAATCCCATAATTTCCGATGTAGCATTAGCAGGAAACTGACTCAATAAATCCTTAACGGTATGCCTATTAGAGTCGCGTATGTTCGGATCGGCACCGTTTTCCAAAAGGGTCCTAACCACTTCCGGTTTCCCACACAAAGCGGCCTCGTGAAGAGCCGTTCCGGCTGGTGTTTGTACGTTCACGTCTATTCCGGCTCTAAGTAACACCTCGACTACGGACCTGAAACGATGTTTGTTAGAAAAAAAAATAGTGGAGGTGGTGGTGTGGTCGCAATTAATTTAACAGAGACGTGCCCAAATATGACTCATCATTGAGTAAGTGCTTACTATTTATGAGTTGGTCGATAACGAAACAAATTTCACAGAGGCGTTAATTATTCTTAATTTTATTTAAAATATCCTTATTTGAGACAGAATTGTGTTATGAAATAATTAATTTTCTTTCAGAACTTTGTTCCAAAATATCAAAAATGATGTAAATCCATGTTTTCTTTGCATTAAATCTTTTGTAACCATTTAAATTACATAAATATTTATTAATCTAAAATAATTTTCAAATTTCTTTAGAAATTAAGTTCTACATAGCTATAGGTGTATACGGTTAGTTGATTTGGTTCGCATCAACGACCTAATGCCTTTACACACCTAACACGTCCAAACCGGCCATCGGCACACCCTCGGACGTACCCCGGCTATCAAGAGGGACGAAGAGAAAGCCATTTGAACGCACCAGCTTGTTTGCAGCAGCACAACAGTTCACCTACTACGTGCACATAACGCCGAGCAATTCCAATTAAACGCGCAAGAACGATCACGGCCCGAGGATGGATGCTCCGCTCCTATTCCTGCCGCCGCCACTGCTGCTAATAATTAGCCCGGCATGTAATGACCAATATGCGTTGCAACGGGATGTGTGTCCTAAGAGGTGGAAAATCTAGAACCGTGTGTGTGTGGAACTCTGTGTATACCTCAATATCCTGAACCTCTCTAGATATCCAAATTAACTCTATCAAGCTAAAATAATTGGTATTTCAAAAAAAATGTATTGAAGGATTAAAATAATTAAAGGATTTTTACTGAAATACATCATAAATCTATGGAAATTTAAGATTTAGTCACGGCATATGTCGCACGATTGCATTGAAACAATATCAACCCGGAATAATTCTCTGTCGGAGGGGCTTAAGATCGGTTTAGTGGGTTTATGGCATCTGGACGTAATCGTGAATATTAACATACGCGTGACGTAACTTGTATATTACAAGAGGTGGGGTGGTGGCAGGGAGAGGTGGTTATTTGATAAGCATCAAAATGCTTAATATATTCTAGTCCACGTGTTAATTAACTACGATACTACAACGGCAATGATTCTTTAAAGTACGAGTATTCAATTTAATTGCTTTTAAATAAGTTAAGAAATAAAGTTGATTATACTTGGATACAAATGAACTAATTAATTTACACTAGTGTATGACGTGCTAAGAGCTTTTCCGAAATTAGTTGTTGGGCAAATAAGGTTCTAACAAACCGAAAATAGAAATATAAAAAAAAAAAAAAAACGAAAGTCAACTTAGACGTCATTCTAGAAACATAACATCATAGACTTGTATGATCCAAATAATACTTTATGAAATCCAGTCTATGTCAGAATAGTTACCAAATTTAGGCATAAAAACAAAAATTGATTATATCTCTTAATCTTTAGATACAAAGGGTTGAACCTCGTATTTTCATGTTATACACAAAAAACCTCATTGTTATTTTTCATTGATTTTTTGGCGAGACAATATATGCTACCTACATATCATGTCGCGATATTCTGTATAGCATCAAATATGCAGAAAATATTTTCATCCGCAATATTAAATAATTCCTTAGCTATGGGTGTACTGTTATCCAGAAGCATTAATAATAAATTAAGCCATAAAGTTTTCGAAGAGATCTTTTCTATGCATATCCAACTTTGGCAAAACTAGACCAAAGACAATGCGAATATCAGGAAACTATCTAGACGAAGGTGCAATCAACGGAAGCCCTGCGTCGCATAATCTGCGAACAGTACCAACAGCATTTAAGAGGCGATGAAAAGAGTATGCGCGCGTATAACCAAATTTATTTGGCGCTATATACGCCCACGATAAAGTACACTATAAAGCCCTCAATAACACCTTACGAAAAAGCGTATATACTGAACATCATCGAGAAGTTTTACCTAACATCTTAAATGTGGGCTCAGAGGAGATACCAGAGATTAATAGTGATGAACTAAGAGTTGCTTTCAAAAGTATAAGAAACACAATAGCACCGGGAGAAGACAGAGTAACAGGCGAAATGGTCAAGATGAAAGGGGTCCGGTGGTTTGGAGGAGGTATTGCACATCCTGTTCAAAAGATGCCTGCAGGAACAGAGGAATCCAAGAGCGTGGTGAAATTCGGAAATCCTGTTGATCAAAATGGCTACGCGAGTATGGAATATTACAAACCGATCAGTCTACTATACACCTTATACAAATTGTTTACAAGAATATTCACAGACCAATAAATTCGGCTTTTATCAGCCAGTCGAATAGACGGGTTTTCGAAAAGGCTATATCACGTATGCTAAGTGAAAAGACAATAGAGTACATCCCCCTCCATCTGGTCTTCATAGATTATCAAAAACCTTTCGACTCCATCGAAATATGTGCAATACTAGAAGCAATGTCAAGACGAAAATCGATTCACGATCTCTAATCTTGTCCAACACATTTACACCAATGCAACACTACTGGCCAAACTGGGCAACATGATGACGGAGAAGATCTTGCAATCAATTTCAAGACAGATACTCGGAATTTAAGTTTCAGAACATTTATGCATATTTGTTTACCAAAAATAAAACCCATCAAAACCATACCTCAAAAGCACAACACAATAATACAATTGATAACACGTCTACTTTCTCTAATGATGTTTTTTTTTAATTAGAACATTTAGTGCTTTGAATAACTTTAATTTTAGCTTTATCCGTTTGTAAAAACTTTCCATTTTAGCGATAAAATGCTCTGATGCAGATTGAAATAAATACAATCGAAATATTAGCTTTTTAAAAAGTTGTTTCATTAATTAACACTTTGTGGACCGTTTATCCCAGTTAGAATTTTGTAGAACTGTAAGTCTACCTTAGTCACGCTATTAAGCTGTGCAAAAAAAAAAACAAACCACCGAAATAACAGGATAACCAAAGAACCATGGAGGGCAATACTGAGGATTAAACTCAGAGACAGAGTGGGCAATGAGGAGATCCGAGGGCGCACTAAGATCACAGACATAATGGCGAATATCAAATCACAAACATCGCAGTAGTACCTATACTAATGAAATTTCAATGCCAGAAAATCACATTTGTTCACACTATATGAAAACTGCTGTACATAAAAAATATACATCAAAACACTTGAGTTGACTAGTTTCCTCGATTTCCCTGGTGATGCTCTGTTTTTGTTGCATTGTTTCCTGTTGCAATGGCGATTGAATCGATGAAGCATTAAACCGAAACATAAAAGTCTTCATTAGTAAGATTTATAATAATCATATTTTTAATAATAAGGATAAATGTAAAAGACGTTCTGTAAAATATTCTAAAAATATATCACACTAAAAGCATGTTCCTTTACACCAATGGTTCTCAAACTTTTTGAAGTCAACACAATTTCTAAAACAATATAATAATAATTTTGTAAGCTATACATAATTAATGTTATAAAGTTCAAGTGTGCTTTTATGGCAATCAAATGAGCTAATACAACAAAACAAAATTTATTTTGACCTTACAACATTGTTACTACATTTCATATTACATTTTTTAATGTTAATAACAATTTTAACGTTTATGAGAAACGTGAGAAACGTGGTGTTGTCGAGCGATTCTCTTCATGTCAACGTGACTTGTATTTAGAAGTTGTTTTCTGCTAAATGCTACAACTAACATTAAGCTTGTGATGTATCGTCTTGAAGGGGATATATTAAGCATTAATTTAAGATATATAACTCGTCTCTTCACTCCAAGAAATAAAGGAGAAATGATTTTTTTTAAGTTGACAACAATAGAAATGGTTTTCCACCTAACCTCAATGCACATTTTTTTTCAAGATTCTTTTTCTCCCAAGTTTCATTATTAACATATAGGTTATGTTACTCCATCTTGTAGAGGACATTTCAAACTTTCATTTAACATATAAATCATTTCTTCACATCCAGAAATAAACCGGAAGTGATTTTTTTAAAGTTTACATCGTAGAAACATCATCCACCAAATCTTTTCTAACAACACGAAATTTCTTACTTCACAACAGGTTGTCATATTTCGTTTTAAAGAGAACATTTTAAGAAATGAGAGCATTATGTTAAGGGTACAATTTGCTACAACTTTTGTTGTAAAAGTTTTTCTGTGTCATGCTCCGGATACCGATTATTTTAACAGTCTTGAATCGACAAACACATCAGTACATTGAAGATTTCCTCTCTTTTTGGACTTGATTGTGTTGAGAGCAGAAAATCGTAGCTCATACAGGCAACAGGTTAAAAATTGAAGCAACATTTTCAATGCTTTTTGCGATATTGCCTCATATTCTTCTTTTATAGAAATCCAAAAGGACTCAAGACGTAATTCCTTGTATTTAAGCAAGTGTTGCTTACCAATGGAAACATTTCCAAATTCCCTTCAACACCTTGTCTTTTCCAAATCTGCAGTTTTTTCTGAAACGCTTTCATTTTGTCAGTGGATATTTAGGAATATTTTCTTCTTTGCCTTGCATGCTTGAATTAAAAATATTAAGCTGCTGAAATATATCAGCCAAATATTGTAACTTGGAAGTCCAAAATTCAGAGCGCAGGAGGTTACAAAAATTAAGTTATGTGTCTGTTCAAAAAACGCGAGAAGTTCTTGTCGTAGCTCTAGTACACGAGTGAGTACTTTTCCTCTTGACAACCACCTCACCTCGGTGTTAAAAAGCAGCCGTCAGTGTTGGAAGTCCATATCGATACACAACTGTTCGAACAAACGTGATTTAAAGGGTCGTGTTTTAATAAAGTTAACCATTTGAACAACTTGATCTAAAACTACTTTTAATTTTTCTCCTAACGTTTTTGCCATCAAGGTCTCCCTATGAACATTCTCATTTTGTTTTTTTACAAAAGATGTAAGGCTCTTAACACACCCATCTATGGAAGGAGCGCCATCTGTACAGATGCCTACACACGACGACCATGATAACTGCCATTTTTCTAGGTAGTTATTCAAAATGTTAAGAACGTCTCCACCTTTTGTAGACACACTTAATTCTTTGCAAAAAAGGAACTTTACTATTTGATCTTCGTTAATAAAACGGACGAATGCTATGAGTTGCGCCTTATTAACAATGTCTGTTGACTCATCAACTTGGAGTGCAAAATTTGAATTCTGAAGTTTATTACTGCATACATTTTTCTCGATATCAGAAGACATTTCTATAATACGCCTGCGAACTGTATCGTTGGACAGTGGAATCTTGGTTATTTTCATTGCTGCTGCATTTCCTAGCATTGTCATGACTATTTGTTTGCAGGCAGGTAAAATAAGTGACTCCCCTAAAGTATGGGCTTTCATATTTTTTGCGATCGATAAGATGCGATTTGAGCTTTATCAAAAACAGTCATCATACTTTTAAAACAATTCGCCGCTTTTGTTTGGTGTTCAGACAGTCCCTTGAAATAGCTTATAGATTTATCTTGTAAATTAGAGTGGGCAGTTTTAAAATGTTTATTCAATTTACTAGAGAGGAAGGATTCATTTGCCATTTTACAGCCACATATTAAACATAGCGGCAAAGGATAATTTTCATTTCCGGTCCAAGTGAATGTGAAGCTTAAGTAATTTTCGCCGAAATAAATTTTCAGTTTCACAATTCATCGTAACAGACGAATAACCTTGTTTACACTTTAACACTAATAAAATAAGATTAAATAGAAAAACAGTGCTCATAGTGTTTGCAATGTTATTATATTAAATGTGAATTTGAAACACATGCATAAATTAAGTAGGCATAAATTATATGTAAGTTTTATGTCGGATTTATTAATTCGGTTCTGATAAACACGAACGGTACTGTCAGAATGCAAATTCAGTTGTTAGATTACACAATGATGTTTCAAATTAATGTCTACTTATTATTGCCTAGTTATTTTATATATACACGGAATAAAGTATTCAATTACTCACTAAACCTGTTAATGTAAAGCTCATTCTATAATCTTCATTAAACTGTAAAACTTATGTCTACATAAATTTAAATAACTCATGAATAAAATACGATACTCAAATATATTTCACTGACAACAATATCCTATTAAAAACGTATTATCTACTTACTTGTGTCCATTTCTACTAGCTAAATGTAAAGGTGTATGAGAAAACATCCGACCGTGTGGACGTTCCATTTGCTGTATGGAACTAGGATGTGTCCTCACCAGTAGTTCAACGGATTCCAATCTGGTTGTTAGAAAAAGACACCGAAAACAAAGAGAAGAGAGAATAGTCTAGTAGTAAAACGTCTCTCGGCACATTACCCGGGAATTTAATTTCTTCCCTTACCTTCCATACTGAGCGGCTAAGTCCAATGCCGTTTCGCCCCTTTTATTACATATGCTCGGGTCGCAACCGTACTCCAAAAGTAACTTTACAACGTCAGTGTGACCGTACTGGGCCGCACAATGAAGAGCTGTCTCATCATCTTTAGTCTAGAAACAATTACAAAAAAGGCTAATCTAAAAAACGCATTTTAAACAGTGATGTCGGTTCAAATAAAAGAGGACGAAGAGAAAAATCAATTTTCAAGAGTAAATTTGGAGTGTCCATTTAGATTCGGAATTAATCACGACCATTGAGACCCCACAGCGCAAAGACCATTTGTCAATTGGTCGGCGAGTACTCGAGATGACCTTTGACGACAGGGGTGGCGACAGGAATCGTCAAGGACCCACGGGTCGGTCTCTAGGTCTTAATTAAAAGCCAAATTCCACCCCCTCGTATACATCTCGTGTACATCTCGACCTCCCCCTACATTCGGCGGGTTCTTAAAGTGACTTTGACGGATTTATGAAGCTCTTTATTCTCAACGACAAGATCGGAAACAAACAATTCGGAGAAAGCAATAAAGTAAACCCGTAAATAATAAAACCGTTAATTTTGGTACTCACCGTTGAGTTGACGTTGCACAAAGATGGTCCTTTCAATAACATACGGGCGATATCTGCATTTCCGGACCAAGCGGCAAGATGTAAAGGCGTTGATCCTTTACTATCGACGATGTTTATTGATGCATCATGTTCTAAAAGGAGTCTAACAATTTCTCTGTAACACATAAAATAGTGATATTAAAGTTTTTATATTTATTTTATTTATATACCTATGCCCATTTAATGCTGCGTGATGTAAAGATGTATAACCGCTGCTATCTTGGACGTTTGCGCCAGGTCCTCTTCTTAAACTAAAATAAATCAAAAGAATGATTGCAAATAAATCGTTACAAACGATGATTCAAACGTGATTTTTCAATTACGACGCGTACGTGAAAGTTGTGTTAAAAGTAACTTGTGAAAGTGATTACTCTTTAAATACACGTTAGGAATACATTTTCTCTTTGAAATTGGTAATTCAAATTGTTTTCTAGTTTGAGGAGGAAACTTTAACACGTAAAGTTCTAATAAACGTTGTTAGTTAAACGCGGTGATTATTTTATCATTGTAAAATGAAGTTTTCTTTGAAAATATGTAGGTTGTTAATTTCTGGAGAACTATATTCTGATATATTTTACATGTAGCAGTCATGGCCGAGCGGTTAAGGCGTCTGACTAGAAATCAGATTCCCTCTGGGAGCGTAGGTTCGAATCCTACTGACTGCGATGTATACTGTATATACAAGTTTTTTTGCAGAATTTAATAAATAATACGCACTAACAATGTAATACTTATACAGGATGCCCATTATGTATGGAATATAGTATATATCTTATAAAAAAACATTTTATGCAATAGTTATTTAATATTTTATTTGCCATAATAAGACAGAATTCAATTGTTTTTATTTCAGAAAACAAATGAGCAACGAATAACACTTGAAGTTTTTTAAATGGCAATGTACCCTTTCGTTAGGCTCATTTGATAGAGATTAGTTTTCTCTTTATGATGACGTAAAGATACATAATGGGCACCTGTATATCAAAATATTTAGACGAAAAATACAGCAACAAAATTAGTGTGTTCAAAATTAGAATTTAAAAATTCTTGAGTACCTTGTGCACATTTTTATTATCATTATAAGATTAATAGATAAGATTTAATTGTTTGTATTGAACGTTTTAAAAGTAATCCATGATAATATAAAACAACATTACTCAAATTCCAAGTAGTGACTATAAATTTTCTGGATTTTCGCATCGATCCCAAGAATTCCACTTTTTAGAGATAACCTATTTTAGCTGGAAGAACACTTGACCTATATTAACATGCGGGAGTGTTTCAAAAATAAGTATTCATTTATTTCGAACTAAAAATGCCTATTAAGATTTCTTATAAATCAACTAAAACTTAAATATAAGACTATAAATTGTTTCATACCATTAGAGATCACTCTCTAATATACTCAATAGAGACGTGATCAAAGTTTCCAATCGATTTGATTGCAACGACATTATGTTCTTTGTTGTTCTTCTGTTTGAACATTAATTTCTTTCAAATATTTATGAATTTTGCGGTATAAGAAATTTTCTTTCCGTTTTAATATGAAAACACGATTAAAAAACCATTCATCTCGAAATTTACAAATATAAGAGAAAAACTTATTAAAAATGTGAAATAACCAAGGATTTTTTTTTCGTATATCGTGTAAGTAAAGAGGACGGAAATACGGTGACTTCAAAATTAAATCGATTTGAAATTCCAATAACCTCGGAATTTATTAATACACTTTACATACCGCAGTGAACTTCGAATTGAAATTTCGTAAGGTGTAATGCAAAAGTATTTCAATATTTTTAATCAACTACTCAACTTTGAAACTTATTTAAAAAAATGCTCATATTATTTAAAACATTGTACACATTGTTGCAGCTTTTGTGCAAATAAGTTCATGAATTTTTGTAATGTTTTGCAAAACAAAGATAAAAAACCAGAAATAGAGCATCTCAGGATTCTTCTCTCAAGATAGGGCTCAGATAGGGATGTTATGTCTCACCGAGTGTTTTCAAAATATACATAAAATATTTATTAAACAATTGGAAGAAGAAGTGTAGAAGAAGTTAAATGATACCTCAGTACTCACTCTCCAATTTGCAGATGACCATCATTGCCCAAGACAAAAGTGATATTGAATATCTGACTCGAAAGATCAAAGAAGAATGCGAAAAATGGGGCATATCAATAAATATAATAAAAGCCAGATATATGTGTATGGGGAATAACGTAGACGATTTGGAGATATCCTATAACGAAAAAATCGAGCAATGTGATAAATATAAATATCTTGGAATATAATTAAACAACAAAGAAACCGTTTATGACAGTGAAAACTAAATTTATATAATTCTATTGAAAAATATATAACATTTTACGGAGCAGACGCGTGGAAGTTAATAGAGGCCGAAAAAATAGAATAAGAGCAGTCAAAATGGACGTCGTTAGAAGATTAGACGGAATCTCAAGGAAACAATTAGAAGATATTGCGAAAAAACTGCTGATATGGTATCACCTAAAACGAATGCCTTAGAGAACATTTCCAAAGATAGCATTAAAATGGATGCGAAAATAATGAAGGAAACAAGAAAGGAACACGTAGGAAGTCGTGGGGCAACGGAATTACGAAGGACATAAGTGAGATAAACCTCACAGATACAGATTGCCAAGATCGTTCACAATAGAGGACGAGTTTAGAAGTCGTACAGCAAAGAAAAATGCTATGAACCGATATATGTTTGTAATTTTAAAATCAACTATTCAACATCAAAGCACATTGTCCACGTTAAAACATAGATACCACTTCATTAGACAAAAAGTGGAATAGGCCAAAGGCCACAACAAGTCGTTATCGATACCATAACAAATTTAGGTACAACAAAAAGATTACAAAAACATTCAAACGCAAAAGCAAAGAGCTGTGACTATTAAGAGATTTACAGGTATTGCGAACACTGCTGCCCAAACAGAAAATCAGCATAGCGCCTCCTGGCGGTGGCGGCAGACTCACACTCTGTCACTGCGCAACCAGAAGGGAACTCATTAATTACTTTGCATATCTAGTATGAGAAGCATTTTTTAAAACTCATAGTGTGGAATATTGGTGGAGATAGTTTTCCCTTAAACCTCACATTAACCGAGTGCACGTCACCCCGAAAAGACAACTTTTTTACAAGATACGCTGGTTTATGTAGAGTGAGTAATTTATGGTAAAAACCTACAGCATGCAACATTCTTCTCCCCTGCATGTTCAACCACTTTAAAACCGGCAGCTTACAGCTGACATGATCTCTGCGATGCAACCCAAAAATTAGTCTGATATAGGTGTTTTGCACCTTTTGAATTTTCCTCTTCAATGCATAAGATAGAAAGGGTGCATACAATGCATCGCCATAATTAAACATAGATAGTACTAAACTTTTTTTTTAGGCGCACTTTTGCACTACGATTAACAAAGGCTCTGTTAGTATAATTAATTCTAGGGCTAAGCTGTAAGCTCTTTGCACGCATTTATTGACGTATCCATTAAAAGTAAGGCCCTCATCGATTAAAAAGCCTAAGTTTTTTACTATTTTTCAAATACGTAGTAATTCGTTATTTACACAAATTTGTAAGACATTAATGACTTTTTGTTTTTGTTTCTGAGGACCAAACATAATAACGTTTGATTTTTTCTGATTAATTTTAAGTCCATGTCGGCTTGAGGTATCACACAAATATTATTATATCGAGGGTACCTACGTACCTACGCGAATACACTTTATACGTTGTAACAAACCTTATTATCCAATCTCATTCACTGGCTTGGAAAGGTGACTTAACCGAAATCGTGCATAGAGATCTCGTAAATTCTCTAGTCATACTCGCTTAGATAAACCAAATATTATTGATGCGATTCACTCCCTTTGTCCAAGCTTTCGGAGATTCAACATTTCGAAATAGGTTACAAATAGCTGCAATTGTGCCCCCACTAAGAATCTTAAATCTACCGATGGGATATAAGTTCTTCTTGTGGAAAATTTATCTGAAATAAAGGGCTAATACATCAACTATGATGAATTTCTCCGTTCTTTTCTTTCTGTAGTAGGATTACAGATTTTTAAGACAAAATAATAAGGCGAATTAAGCGCCGGTAAGTTAGAGAAGGGGAATAAAGTAAGGGAGAAGAATGTTGATGTTAAGACAGGGTTATGGAGCCCAAAAAAGGTATTAACGAACCACTTGCAATATGCAATGCATTGTGTAAAAACAAATTACCTAAATTTATATTTCTTCAAAATATGGCGCTGATTTTACACCTGATTTAAAAGATCACCTTTAACGATAACTATGCATCTGTGGAGACTTTATATATTCTTAGAGAACTGTGCTACAAAACTTCCTTTCGCTGTATGGATAGGGTGTTGACATTAATATACTTTTTTGATATTAGCAGTTACAAAGGTGAGAGGAAAAATTTAAAGTGGACGGTATTCCAGCACATATTTCTACTAATATGACAAGTTCTGCGTGTAGGAAGTATTTATTTCCAATAACAGTGATAATAAGTAATGTAAAGATATATTAAAGGCATGAAATATTGTTGTAGGAGCTGCACATAGTACGATTTGAAATGTAACATCGTCGCAAAACATTCGACATTTGCTGAAATATTTCAAGTCTGCTGCGAGGTTGATTTCTATGGACAACGTATGAAACTATTCATCACTCTCCCCGTTATGTAGTTCAGCTATTTTACTCGACCGATGCTTTCACCGTTACCAAACTGGTGACCTTAAACCGCCAACACCACCGCAAAATGCTTTTACAAGATGGTTCTTTACCGTACTCTCATCTGAAAGCATACACTGCTGTAACTGATGAAAATCTCACATATCCTATCATACAAAAAATTCTTCTTATTTCTAAGTCGTACCTGGTCCACACAGTATAAATACACTAAATTCGTGGTTATTTTCATATATCACTCATACCAGTACGTGTAATATTTATAAATATATAGCAATTTTGAAAATAAATTAGTTTCTATAACTAGCTTCCATTTTTCAAAGAAGTTTCCGTGCCACATGATGAAGTGTTTAAAAAAGTTTTAATGCCCAATGTACAAAGGTATCTCAAAAATATAATAAAAGAGGTTCTTAATAACGCAGAGCAACCACCAACTAAAATATACAACAGACAAGAGGAGTGATATGATCAACCCAACCCGACCCATATTTCAAATAGTAGTGAAAGAAATATAATCAAGGGTTTATTG